TGTTTTATTTGGGCAGATAATAAATATATTTTTAAGGATCTTCCAATTAATCTTAGATATGATATTATAATGAATATACATAATGGAGTATTTGGAAATATGCAATTATTTTAATTAGTAGATGATAAATAATTCTTAGTTAAGGTTGTTCCTCTTTTGAAACCTATTTTATTTTTGGAATCTGAAATAATATGGGAATAAAATAGTAATCCTGATGCAATTTACTTTATTTCTGAAGGTAGAATGAATTTTAAAGCTGATTTTATTGTTATTAAATAAACTAATCAAAAAAAATAATTTGCATTTAAAAGTATGATTGGAGGATCATATTTTGGAGAAATAGAAATATTTCTACATACTAAAAGAGAAACAGTAGCTTAATGTGAATCATAATGTGAAATGTACTATTTGACAATAACATCTTTTGAAAATGAGATATTCGATGATTTCCCTCATATTATGAATAAAATGAAAAAGATTGCATTAGAAAGAAGACAAAAGAATATTGAAACTATATAACAATTATAATAATTTATAGATGATGCGACTAAGAAATAATTAAAAAGAAGTAATTCATAATTTCAATATAAAAGCACAACCAAAGAAAAATACTGTTCTTCTTAGAGAATACATAAAGCAAAATAGTCAAAAGACTTTAGAAGATCTTAAACCAAATGATTGTGAACAAGACACTGAGCATCCTTAAATTTCAACCAATAGATCAAAATTACAGGATCTGTTCCTAATAACCTAAGAGATAGAATAATTACTAGAATGATATTAATTTTTTCATTTCTACTTATCTTAAAGATAATAAATAATAATTATTAAATATGATTTATAATTTATTTAATATTTAAATCATAGAAATATTTATAAAAGTAAAAAAATAAATTATAAAATATAAAATCAATAATGATTTACAAATTTAAATATTTAAGGAAATATGTTATTCATTTTTTATTTCTTTTATCTAAAAGATTTTTAACCTTTTCAACACATAAACCTTATTCTTTTGCTGAACTTGCAACAATTGCTGTTGGAATTGAACCTTTTGGATCTACCATAGTAATAAAACAAGCTTTAGTTCCTTATTCCATTTTTTAAAGAACCCATCCTGCAATCTTTAATTCTCCTCTTACAGATTCCTTTATTGGAGGTATATCAGGATATTCAATTGATTTTGCAACTATAATCCATTTATTTTCTTCTCTAAAGACTCTAGAGATTAATACAAAATCTCTAGATTTGACTACTATTTTAATAGTTTTGAATCTTTGATATAATATACCTGTATCTTAATCAATTTTTTTATGCATATAACCCTAAATATAAAAATAGAATTACAGAATCAAAAAGAGAATCATAATCTCCTCTTTTTTCAACTTTTTCAATAATTTCATAAATTTGTTCTATTGAATAAGGTACTATGCCTTCACCTCTACTCATGGTTTATCCACTATTTTCATCAAATCTAGTATGAATAATGAATCCTCCTTTATCTGATTATAGCTGCCATTAAGGATTTAAAGGATAGACTTATTCTAATATTTTTTTTGCTTCAAGAGTAATGTCAAAATATTTTTGATACTCTGGTGGATAGGATTATTAAGGAGGACTTAATTATTTTGGTAATGGTTAGAATTATTAAATTGGTTAAATTTAGGATGTTATGATTTCTTAATTAGATTCATCTATTTATGTATATTGTGGAGATTTAGTAAGGATTTCTGATTAAATAATGGAAACTTAATCAATCTAAACCTTTTAAGTTTGATATTCAAATAGGATACTTTTAGGATTTAATTTTTGTTGTTTTACAAATTATTTTAAACAAGGCAATATATGAATTTGTGTATTTGGAGCTAAGCATTTGATTTCAATATTGTCTTCTTCAAAAAGATATTTAATTATGAATAATCTTAGAATTTATTGTTAATAATATTCAACAATATAAAAAGAAGTTTAATCAACATAGATTGCTTATTAAAATCTTTCTATTGTTTAATTTGTATAACTTAAACTTAGTAAATTATTTTAAGTATTTATTGATAAAAGATTAGGATTCCATTCTTTTCTTATATCATTTCTAGTCATTAAATAAACTAAAGCATTATAATCAAAATTCATATAACATATTCCTTGAACAATAAAAGATTTTGGTTTTTCTTATTTGTATTTCTTTTATCTAAATACAAAAGGGAGTAAAATAAAATTAATAGTTAAAATAATACTATGGGTGTATTTTTAATTCTCAATTAAACTTAAGAAAAAGTAAATGATTATTGAGATTAAGAAAAATAATAGAGTAGATATAAAAATCAGATGTAATATCTTAAGATTTTAGCATTTCAGATATAATTAATCTAATTTACTTTTATTTTCTTAGGATATCATATCTGGTTATTATTATTTATAAATTAATACTCCATCATTTATATTAAATAGTATGGATTGATGTGATTCAAATTTTTTAATGTATTGATTTACCATAACTTTTACATCTTCTCCAAAATCTTATTTAATTAGATCTTAATCTGGTTAAAAAATTGGTGGTTTAGTTTGTTAAATATTAATAGAAGGTGATTATTATTTTACAAATGATTCTTAGAATTATGAGTCCAATTTTGATTCAGATTATTATTTTATCTAAGTTAAAGATTGGAGTAATTTTTTATGTTCTGATTCATTATAAGTAATAATTTTAAGTGTTTCATCAGCATGACATATTTACAGAGAAGAGCCATTATTAGTGAGTAATTCTTTTATTTTACAATTTTTTAATTTGTATTCAGCTTTAATCTATCTGTCCTCTTTTTTATCTCTATAAGTGAAAATACCCTTTATATTATGAGAATGTATACATCTTAGTAAATTTCAACATACCTTATAACCCAGAAAGACTTTCTTTTCAATTTCACATAGGCTCCAAAAAGTGACATAATATGTAAATTAATTGTATAAATTAGATACTTTTAGAGACTATGATTAAGAAGGATTAAACAAAACTTTATCAATATAATATTAATATCATTATTACTTTCCTCTTAAGAGGTATAAAAACATTAAAGCCATAAATCTAAAAAATAAAATTATGGCAGCTAAAATAACCAAGCATTTCCAAAGACCTAAAGTTAAATCATAGGTTTCAATAGGGTTAGAATTCTCTATTGATTTTCCTATGAATTCATCATCTCTTGTTTCGAATTCATTCCATACTAATGCTTCAAAAGCATATTTCATTGGACTTAAATATTAAATCCATCCAATCCAATCCATATACATAGATTAATTAGCATAAAATCCAGAAAATATAACCAATGGCATTAATACTACAGGTAGAAATCCAGCAGCTGCTTTAAGATCATTAAACATACATCCAGTCATTAGACCTAATAAATTGTAATTAAATTATACCAAAACTGTTTCCACTTAAACCAAGCAATATACAAATAATTATGTTGATTACTACAATGTCTCCTGTTTTATCATTCAAATCAACCATCCAATAACAAATAAGTTATTAGATAATTGGGAAAACAAATAAAAATGGAATTTCTACTGAACTTTTACCTGTGAAATATGCTGCAGTAGAATATAACTTTGAATTTTCCTCTCTTAAAAATACTTCTCTTTCAGCTGGAAATTGAACCATTACAGGATTAAGAGCTCCCATAAAACTACTCATAACCAAAAAGAATAAAACTCCTATTGTACTCTAAATCCCTTTATATCCAGGTTCACTACCTGCTGTCCAAAAAATACCTCCAATTAGTAGACCAATAAATATTGTCATTACTAAACGACCTCTTACTAAAATTTTATCTCTTTTTACATTAATCATTCCTCTTCTAAATATTTCACTTACTTAAAATCCAAAAGATGTTTAAATTGATTGTCTAGATATCTGTTAAATTTAAATAGAGTTTATAGCATTTTCAATTTCTTATGAAAATCTTTAATTATAACCTGAAAATAGAGTTACATAATGTGGATGTTCAGTATCCTCATGATGCATAACACTCATTATATAATCCAATGGATTCGAATGTGCTGGACATTCAAAACCTATACCTTTAAAATAATTCACCATTTCATCCTTTCTACCCTAATAAATGAACTTCCCTTAAACTAAAAGCATGATTTAATCAAATAACATATATATATCTGCACTTGGTTAATGAATTGTAAATACTATTGTTCTTCCTGAAGTATGAGCCAATTTTCGAAGTAGATTTCTATAATCAAATTTAAATCAATTTTACATTATAATGAAGGCTGTAAATGAATCTAAACCTGAGGTAGGTTCATCCAATAATATACAAAAAGGATCACTAACTAATTCTACCCCAATAGATGTTCTTTTTCTCTCTCCTCCTGATATTCCCTTAATCATTGCATTACCAATCTATCAATATTAAAAACATATATTTACAAGAGTATTTTAACATTTTTCTAACTTTAATGTTTTCAATGCATAATCTACTTTCTCTATTTTTTGTTATGGATCAGCATACTTTAAATTTGCTACAAATTCTAATGTTTCTCTAACTGTTAATGTTCCAAAAAGAACATCATTTTGCATAACATAAGATGAGAATTGAGAAAATTTATCACTATTATATGGTTCACCATTAGCATGAATATTACCCTATAAAGTCACATTCCCTCCAGGAGTAATTCTCTTAGCTAAGATATTAAGCAATGAAGTTTTTCCTGCTCCTGAAGCTCCAAGTATTGCAGTAACTTAACCTGGTTTACATAGTCCAGATATGTTATTTAGGATTACTTTGTTTTCTTAATCACCTTGAGGATTTTTAACATTAACCTTATAGGATAAATTTTAAAAGCTGATTGTAACGCTGCTTGTTGTTTCTTCATATGGAACAAGTTCTTTATTTGGAACAAGTGAAATTTCATTTCCTTTCATGTTATAAAATTTTATTTATAAATATTGAGAAATCCCATTTTCCAAAATTTATTACTCAAATTAATATATTATGATAATTAGATATAATTATAACATATTATTAATTAAAAGTCATTACTATCTTGATCTTCCAAGATATAAAAAAATTAAGGATAGTATTCTAAAAAATATTGGAAATGCAATCAAAACATAAATGCTATTCCATAATCCAAAATCTAAAGAAAAGGTATCAATAGGATTTTAACTCTGCATAGACTATCCTATAAATTCATCTCTTCTAGTATCATATTCATTATATATTAGAGCTTCAAAGGCATATTTCATTGGACTTAAATATTATAACCAACTTATCCAATCCATAAACAATGACTAATTAGCATAAAAACCAGAAAAGACAATGAGAGGCATCAGCACTACAGGGATAATACCAGATGCATTTCGAGCATCTGTTAGCATAGATCCAACCATCAATCCTATGAATTAATATATAATATTACCCATACTATTTCCACTTAATCCTAACAATATACATACAAGAATATTAATTAAAACGATACTAGCAGTTTAATCATTTAAGTCTATCATCCAATAACATATTAATTATTAGATAATAGGAAAGATAATTAAAAATGGTATTTCTATAGAACTCTTTCCGACAAAGTATGCAAATGTTGAATAAAGTTTTGAATTTTCTTCTCTTAAAAATACATCTCTTTCTTGTGGAAACTGAACTATAACAGGATTTAATGCTGTCATAAAACTACTCATAACAAGAAAGAAAAGTCCTCCTGTTGTACTTTAAGTACCCTTAAATCCAGGCTCATTTGCAGCACCCCAAAATATACCTCCAACTAATAATCCAAGAAACACAGCCATTACAATTCTACTTCTTACTAATATTTTATCCCTTTTTACATTTAGGATACCTCTTTTTAATATCTAAACCACTTATTATTAAAAATTAGCTTAAAATTCTTCATTTTCGATATTTTTAAGTTATATTCTAGATAATTATTCATCAATTTAAGATTAAATTTAATTATCATATCCTTTAAATAAATTTTAAATATCTGATTATCTATTTTCTTCATTCTACATAATTGAGATGAAATAGTCCAATGGATTAGCTTTTTTGGGACATTCAAAACCAATTGATTAAAAATAATCAATCATTTTTTCTTTAGGACCTTAATAAACGAATCTACCTTTTGCAAGTAAAAATATTTGATCAAATAATAAATAAATATCAGAACTTGGTTAATGTATGGTAAAAATGATAGTTCTTTTAGAAACAACTGATAATTTTTTTAATAGATTTCTAAATAATAAATTTTTATTATATTACATTATAACAAAAGCAGTAAAAGAATCTAATCCAGATGTTGGTTCATCTAATAATATACATTATGGATCTCTCACTAATTCAACTCCTATTGATGTTCTTTTTCTCTCTCCTCCAGAAATGCCTTTAAGCAACTCATTACCAATCTATAATAAAATTACAATTAATTACAAGAGTATTTTAACATTTTTCTAATTTTAAAGTTTTGAGAGCATAATTAACTCTTGATATTTTTTCATTTTCATTAGTATATTTGAGATTTGCAACAAATTCTAATGTTTCTTTAACTGTTAATGTGGCAAAGAGAATATCATTCTACATCACATAACCAGAAAACCTAGCAAATTTTTCACTATCATAATGATTTCCATTAGCTAAGATATCTCCTGTTATTTAAACATTGCTTTTAGTAGAAATTCTTTAAGCTAAGATATTAAGTAATGAAGTTTTTCCTGCTCCTGAAGCTCCAAGTATTGCAGTAACTTTTCCAGGAGGACAAATTCCAGATATATTGTTTAGTATGATTCTACCTTAGGTTTGATTATTTTTGTCTTGATTTACTATATAATTTAGATTTTTGAAGCTCAAAGTTAGACCATTGATCTATTCTTTTTGAGGAACAATTTAAGCTTTATTCATAATAGTTATTAAAAATTACAATTTTAGAAAGTCTTGAATTCCAATTTAGAATAAGTTTGTTTACTAAAATTAGATTGTGACCCCCATATTAAAATAAATTCTGATGAAATATAAAAAATAATGACAATGAGTAAATTAAATTAAATAATTCAACAAATCAGAGCATTTTCAATTAAATTAAATCATTTTATATTGGTTAATCTATTTCTTCTTAAAATTCATCCTCTTCTATGATATTTTATAATTCAAAATAATCTTCTTCATCATCATTTATTTTTGATTTCAAATTTTCTAAAGCTCCTTCTTCCTCAGAACTAGATGCTTTTAGTATTTATAAATATGTATACCTTCGACAGAATTTTCAGCATCATTATCATTTTCAATTTCTTCCTCATCACTAATTCCATCATTACGAAATCTTACAGAATCTCCATCAGATTAATCTCTTCTTTCACTAAATGGGAAGTTAGATGGAGTCATGAATGATTTACCTTACTAAGCAATAGATTAATCACTATAAATAAATAAAAATAGGATTTACTTATCATCAGGTTCACTTGAAGATTCTTCTCTAGATGCATTTTTTTTATGAATTTTTTGTACATTAATTTTAAATAAACAATAACTTCCATCATTATTTTAAAGTAATTTAATTCTATCATGACTTTAATAATTTTTATTATAATTAGATATCATTTTCTTAATAAAAATAAGATTAGAAGATGGTATACTTTTACTAATAAATATTCTTTTATGTTTAGTTAGATGTTATAGAATACCTTTATAATTAGTTTTATGAGGACGTTATTCAATAAATTCTTATTCATCTTTATCATTTTCCAATTCTTAAAATACAACTCTTAAGTTTTTTTTAACAGTCTATTCTTTAATAGGTTCCTTTTAAATTTATTCTTCATTTGCAATTGTAACAAGTGTTTCTAAAGATTTAGTTTTTTTTAATTTTTCAATAGTATTTTTATCTTGATTTCTTCTTCTACGTTCTTCTGTTTCATCTTCTTAATCACTTATATGATTTATATTATCTTTTTTTTCATTTAAATCATCAACAATATAATTAACTTCTGTTTTATTTGTTAGATTATTTTAATTATCTGCTTTTTCATTTTTAGAATTGATTTCATTAAATTTTTATACAGATTATTAAATAAGTACTTTAGGATTAGATTTATCACTTTCTAAAATAGGAGGAGTATTTGTATCAACTTAATATTCATTCATTTATTATATAAATTATTCAACTATTTCTGATTTATTAACTTTGCTATGAATATAATCTTTAACTTCTTTTGAATTTTAAGCATCATTAATAACACTATTAATAATTTTATTAAATTCTTCATAAATAGGTAAAGCATTTTTTAATTCATTAATTTATATATCTTCACATGAATGTTTAATATATTAAATGATTGTTCTATGAATAGTATCAATACTTTTATCAACATTAACATTATCAACTTTAGGAATAAGAAATTCATCTGCTTTTTCTAGAAACCATTTCTAAATTAATCTAATATTTTAAAAGTTTTCAATATATTTATTATGTCTTGAATCTAATGTCATATATTTTGATCTAACTGCAAATCTCTCTTTATGTTTTGATTCCTTCTTTATACATATTGCAAACGGTAACACTCTCTTATATTTTTTCATCATTTTCATCATGAAAATAGGTGTTAAATGTACTCCTTCAACAATAATAGATTCCATCTTTTAATTAAATGTTTCAATAACATATTCTAATCTTTATTATACTAAATGACATTATGCTTTATAACCTTTAATAATCCTTCTTTAATCACTAATATTTAAGTCTGGTAAAGTCTTACCAGCTTCATAAGTACTAGCAAATAATACAGGATTATCATCTTTAGATAAGAAATTCCTCATAATATGTCTTATAGAATCTGTACTATTTTAATAATCAATTTATTCTTACCTTAATACTGTAGATATGCCAAATCTTGATGCTAAAATACTGCTTGCTGTACTTTTACCTGTACCTGATGTTCCACCTAACAAAATTATTAATGGTTGTTTCTTTTCTGTTAAACTCCATGCTATTTCAAAATCTTCTCTGTATAGTTCTCCTTTCACTTAAATATATTTTTTTTCAAGAAGTGAACTAAATACATGTTCTTTAAACTCTTTCTCAGTTATAGTCATTTATTTAAATTATTCATTAGAAATTTGATCAAAGAATACGGCATTCTTTTGTTTATCAATATTTTCTAAAAGTATTGACTTTTTTTGTACCCGACAATTTACTGAGTATTTAAACAAATATTTTTTCACATAAATGATACGAATGAGAAACTTTGCATCCACTTATTTATAAGATTATTTTTAACTTCTCTTTATTAATTTTGCGGACTATATTATTGTTAATTATATACTTTATTGTTTCATTTCATTATTTTACTACTATTCCTTAAGCACAAATATGATATTTTTGTCCACATGACGAACTGTTGACATTTACGTAAATGTGATTAATTATTTTATTGAATTAATCATATCATAATAAGATTCAGAAATATCGATTAATTATATAATTTACGAAATGTTTATTGAAGAGTCAAAATAAAAACAATTATGACAAAGACTCAATAACAATTAAATATATTTATACATTTCTAATAATTACCTTACTATATCATTCAATCATATTTGCATTAAATTAACTTAAGGAAATAGTTATTTAATGATCAATAATTCATCTGATATTTCTTTAAAATATTATAGTTGCTTTAGTATATTCAATTTCCTTATATGTAACTCTTATGAATTGGGTTATATGAACAATAAAAAATTACTATTCATAATTTGATACTAATACCATGTTTTTAATGCTTATTCATTTTTCTTAAGTTTCTCTTCAAATTTCATTTTCATTAACATTAATTCAAATGATAAATCATTACTTTTAATATATGTTAACAATTCATCATATCCTCTTTGTAATTAATTTGGTTATGAGAACCTTTGCTTCAATTATGCAACCATTAAACTTTCATTCATAATATAAATTTATATTATTATATATTTTGTTGAACAATTCAATTATGCTTCTTATTGTTATATTTCATGCTTATTACTTAACTTGTAATTATTTAATTCTTATATTTAGAAAATATTCTTTCAAGATAAGAATGTCAAACAGATATTTGTATTTGTCATGGTTCCTCAGAACAATGTCGTTGTTATTTCCATCAAACACCTTATTGTGATGGTTATGGACCTAGTTAAACCTGTTCTACTAATCCTGGATGTTTAGGATGTGATGATAATTCATCATGTATAGCTTGCATTTCATAGTAATAATTTGTTGATTCATATTAAAATTGTGTCGATTGTCCAGAACATTGTTTAACTTGTACATCTCAATCAAACTGTTAGAGTTGCCTTACAAATTATTATTATTTAGATAATGGACTTTGTAAATAATGTGAATTTCCTTGTTAATAATGCAATTCATAATAAAATTGTCTAACATGTGTGTCAGAATAGTTTTATCTTATATCTAGTATTTGTAGACTATGTGATCCTCCATGTCTCACATGTTTAAATTAAACACAATGTCTAACTTGTATAGATAATTCTTATTACCTTGATTAATTTCACTGTGTTCAATGCTAATTCCCATGTTTAACTTGTTCAAATTAAAACTTTTGTTATAGTTGTGTTTTAGATAACTATAAATTAGATAATGGATTATGTATCAATTAATGTCCTTAAAATTGTCTAATTTGTGATAAAAGTTTATAATGCATTAAATGTGAAGATGGTAATTATATAAATACCAGTAACAGTTGTGTTAAATGTGAAGATCCATGTGAAAATTGTTTAAATAAAGAAATATGTATTACATGTTAAAATCAATACTTTCTGTAAAATTAAGATTGTATTTAATGTCAATAGCCTTGTCTTACTTGTTTAGATTAATAAAAATGTAATAGTTGTATAGATGGATATTATTTATATAATCAAACTTGTAATTAGTGTTCATTAAACTGTTTGAAATGTGATTAATATAGATGTTATTAATGCAATAAATAATCATAATTGTTAAATGATTAATGTATAGATTGTACAAGACCATTGAATTAAACTCTAGATATTTGCAATTATTAAGATTGTCAAGATGGTATATAGACTTAAGGAGAAGAATGTGACAATGGTAATTCGTATGGTTGTATTAATTGCATTATACAAAATGGTTACTATTGCATTAATTAAATTGGATATCCATCTTAATGTTTAAGATGTATACAAAATTGTATACAATGTAAAAATGATAGGTCCTGTTAGGTATGTAAAGATGGATATTTTTTAAATTCAAATAACTAATGTTAGGAATGTAATAAAGAATGCAAAACATGTATAAATCAACCAAATAATTGTTTATCTTGTAAAATAAGTAATTAATATTCTTAATAATGTCAATTATGTGAAATAAATCTAGGATATTATACAGATTTTGAAAATAATCAATGTTATTCAAAATGTGGAGACAATATTAAGACATTATTTGAATAGTGTGATGATGGGAATAATTTAAATGGAGATGGATGTTCTTCTAAATGTTAAATTGAAGATGGTTTCTATTGTATTGATGGTCATTGTGATACTCTTATTTAAGGTGATATTCAAGTTTCTTAATAATAAGGCAATTTGAATACACCTTCTAAATAGTTTGTTATTCAATTTAAAAACTACATTTTGAATTCAGATTCAGATATTGTACCTATCATCTAATTTTTAAATTGTTAAATTAATTAATCATTAATTGTAGTTAAATAAAATATAACAGAAGAAAACTACTTTTAACATAGAGTAATTGAAATAAATATAGAATTTTAAAATAATTGTTTAAAAGATAAAATGGAAGTCAGTATTGTTTAGAAATATAAAAATAATAATAAAAAAAGTATCCTTTTATCTTTTCTAACTTTTCAAATATTTGATATTTTATTCATTGAATAATGGAAATAATTTTTTAATGAAATAGTGATATCTTTTAATTAGACTTTATTTTACATTTTTGGTTTTGTTTGTTTAGCAACATTTTTAACAGGAACAATAGAAGTTGTTTATAATGCAATAGATCTAATATAAATGTTTTCATATTTAAAATACATTAATGTAAATTTACCATACAATTTATAAAAATATTTTGATCTATTTAAATTTGCATAATTACAATACTTTTCTAATTTCACAAAATAAGTTGCTTTAACATTTTTGACTTAAAAAGAATTAGACTAATATAATTATTTACCTGATAAAATTAAAAGGGATGGATATTATTCATATTGTTTATTGAATTATCCATTTTTGTTTTTAATTTTTGTATTTGCAATATTATTGTATCCAATGGCTAAATTATTATTAAGATAATTACAAAGATTTTAAATAAAAATAAAAGAAGATGATGATGATTCAATTCTATTAAAATTAAAACTCATTTAATTGCATCTAAAATTATATATTCAAAAATCCTGTCAATACATAATAAATAAATTATATTTCTCAGGATTCATATCAACTCATATGATATTAACTTATGACATTTTATTTGTCTCATTGTTAAATCTATTTGATTTAAAAATACTATTTACAACTAATAATACCTTTATTTTAATTAACTTGTATATAGCCATTCTTTTAACCATAATTCATTGTTTACTATTATTTATATATTACTCTATGCTTGCTAAATAAACATATTTATTAGAATAAAAAGAAAATGTTAGAAAATGTGGTTCACTCTTTGAAGGTTTAAAAATTGGTAAAACATCTTGTACTCATTTCTATAAACTATTTATACTCATTAAAAAATCATTGTTTATGATTCTGATAACTTTTTGTTCATCATTTCCATATTTTTAAGGCTTATCTATATCCTTTTTAAGCTTTATTTAAGTACTTTATTTATATAATTATAAACCAATCATTTCAATGATAGAATATAGAAAATAATTATTAAGTGAATTTTGTGTATTACTATTATCCTTATTCATAACATTATTAATACTTATGCATGACACTCATTAAGATATGTTATTCTATTCTGAAATATTAGGTTGGAGTTCTATTATATTAATGTCTATATTATTACTTTGTTAAATTATTTTGGATATCAAATAATAATTCTTAATTTGTCAAAAAAAGTTTATCCTCTTTCATAAAATATTATAATCACTCTAAACCAAATTATAAAAGGTCTTTCAAAGTTTTGGTTCAACTTAAAGTAATGCTAATTCAAATGTAGTTCTATTCTATTGAAAATATTCAAATAATGATAATAAATTCATATTTATATTTTTAAATAAACCTGATTGAGTATCTTCTTTATAATATTAATAAAAAAGATTCTTATTAATAATTATATATATATTTATATTATAATTCATTTATTATTTGCATTCCAAGTTTTATTTGATTTCTTAAATTATTGCATCATTTCTGCATCCTTTTACTCATATTCATTAACTTTAGTTTTATATGCTCTTTATTATTTTTCTAATTCTATTCTCTCTTCTTCTGTATATGGTTTATCTTTTAGATGTCTTATCCACTCTTCCCATAATGGATCTACAAATGGTGCCATTTTATCTGTTCTTTCACTCATCCTTCTAGTAGGTTTTCCATTTTAATCATAATATTAATAATAAAGATTTCCATGTTAATCTGTTCCTACAAGTTATCTACCTAATTTTTGATCTTCATAAGTTCTTCGAAATTATTTAAGAGAGGTCACAATTTTACGAATCATATATATTATTTATTTTTATTAATCAATAGGCTGCGTGCATTGATTGTTACATGTTGCTGAATTAAGTTAATTCTGATTTATCAACTTTAAGAAGAGTTTGAATCCTTTTTTCAAAGACACTAACAACAACAATAGAAGCAACAAAAATTGCGACATCCAGAAATTGCTTCTTTCTCTTCTCTCTTTCTGCTTTATTTGTAGGGTAAATTGACTTTTTTAGTTTTTCCCAAGTTGATCCAGAAGAGCCACCTCTAGGTTTTCCAAAATTCATTTTTATATTTTTATTTATGGTATATTTTTTTTAATATATATGATCAGCAAATGCTATATAAATTGTGAGATCATTCTTGATTTCAATAGTCTACTTTTTTCTATATTGAAAAAGTAAAATCCTGATCTAAATTTAAGTAAATTAATCTAAATTAACTCAATCTTAGATTTGAATGATGTTTAAGAAAATCCAAAAAAATACTTAGAAACATAAGAATTGTTACTATAAAATTTATGCATCTTAAAGCCATAGATAGGAGCTATTGAAACATGTAAGATTCTTATAAAATAGATTTAGTGTAATTTCTTGAATCCTAAAACATTTAACCAATCATCTATTCTGAATATACATAAATATTATAATAGCACTTTCCTTATTTGAAATGGTAAGAATTTACAGATTAAGATAAAAATGTTATAGTCATAGATCCAAGATTAGATTTTTGTGAATAGTTACTTAAAAAATAAATCTAAGTAGTTTTATTTAAGAATTATAAATTAAAAGACAAAGATTATTGGAATCAAATATTATAAAATAAATAAATTCTTTTTGCTGAATCATGGGAAACCTTCCCTTGGTAAGATTTTAAATTTGTTACTTAACCGATTTTTTCACCAGATTAATTTAAAGTAAATGAATGTGAAAATGCAGCTACTAAATATTGGAATACATATTTAAAATTAAATCCAATAGAATTCACAAGTTAAATAATTCATGGTAGAAACAGAGGTGGTACTATGTTAGGAATACCAACAGGTAATTATTTTAAATCAAAGCTTTAGCAAATTTATTAATAAGTGAAGAGATCTAATAATAAACTAAAAATCTATTACCAGGTGTATATGCAGGTATTACTTATCTTGAAAATGTTAAATATGGTGGAGTTTTATCTATTGGATATAATCCATATTTTTTAGACACACCTCAAACTATAGAAGTTCATTTATATGGAGAATTTTAAGAAGACTTTTATGGTGCTAATTTAAGATTGATAATAACACATTTTCTTAGACCAGAATCTGATTTTAGAACTTTTGGTATTATTTATTACATAATTTATAGATCATCTGATTAAAGCAATTAGTAATGATAAGATAATTGGAAGGAAATTAGTGTGTTGAACCATTTTTATAGTATTAAATCTGAATATTAATTTTTTAATTTTTTATTTTTAATGTACAAAGGACCTAATAATCTGAAAACATATAAGGTATCAGATTGTGAATCTGTATTAAAAGATTTTTTCAATTCAGAAGATTGTTCAAATCTCTCTATAAGATAATGTGGTATTACAATAAGACACAATACATAATAATTAATTTCTATAATCTCAAAATTAATGAGTGTAAGAAATATTATGGCTGTTAAATAAAAATTATATTGGTTAAATAAAATTACATCAATTGAAATCACTGAATGCCTTATATAAGGGATTAAGTAATCTTCTTAGAAAATTGAATTGCTTAAATTTATTTTAAATAATTTGAAAGATAGAGATTTCCAATAAGTTGCAGCATATTATCATGATGATATTGATTATACTACTTATATTGATTATGCAACTTTGTTGAAAGGTAATAATTATTTAGAGATTTTAAGATGGGAATATATTATTACAAATTTAGAGAAATGAACAATAAAATAAATTCTTTGAAAAATTGCAATAATAATTATAAAAATATATCAACAAAGATACACAATTAGATGAATCATTACTTATTGATTTGTTACATTTATTATAAATAAATATGGATACTGCCTAAGCAATTATATCAAAATATGTTTGGTTGAACATTTAGGATTATGATAAATTGGATTATTTTGTTAATTCTTCCATTAGATTATAATAATTGTAATATGTTAGTGTTATTTAAAATTAAGTAGAATCATAACTAAAAGATGAATAATTAATATATAGTATTGCAAAAGAAATTTAGAGCAAAGATAATATTCATTAATTTGTTTAAAAGTTTATGCTTTCAAAATTAAATTAAAGTCAACTATTCCAATAATTTTAATTATAAATGGCAGTTTCAAAATATATAATGACAAATTAGAAACCAAATGCATATTTTTAAACTTTAGATTTTATAGCTAATATATAATATTTTAATGAAATCTTAATAGTTTCCAATTATTTTTGGAATAAAGGAGAAGTATAATTGAATATTGCAAATCCTCTAAAAGATATTAATATTCCAATCACTAAATAAATAGAATAATAGTTTAAGAGTATTCCAATTCAATCTCATAAAATATTTTAACTCTTTCAAATAGTCTTATAGGTATAGTATAAAAATACTATACTATTTGTGACATTACAAGAATTAACAATATTATAATAATTTTAGAAAGTTAATTAAGTTAAGATCAATAATATAGAATGGGCTTAAAGATTGATAAAATTAGGTGTATTTAAAAAAGTAAATAATAATGAACTTTAAATAAATGAAGAGAATTTTAATTAATTGTAAAATTTTGAATTTGCTTAGAAACCTGAAGTGAAAAAGTAAGAAATTTAAATTGAGGAGTATGAATAAAATAAAAAGCTTATGTATTATTTATGAGTTTATATCCTAGTATAGAGGCAGGAATCATGAAAATAATGAAATAAGAGAAAAAGATGTAGCAGTAGATTCTTTATACAAAATTATCTTAATTAATAAAAAGATCTGTGATTCTAACAGAGATTGAATTAATTGAATCAATAAAAGGATTAGTGAAAAGAGATTTATTATGTTATGAAAATGAAGTTGTTTTTTATAGCATTTGAGACTGGTTACATTTGAATATATTAATATAATTGAAACCTTATTTATATATATATAGATAATTGAATTCGTAATTTAGTAAATTGGAATCGATAATTGAATTAATAAAGTTTATTTTAATTAAAATGTTTAGAGCAACCGAAATACATCTGTATAAATTGTATGTTGAAAGAGAATAAGCTTTTCATCTTCTCACTAAAGTTGGGCAAATGAAAAATGTTAATTTAGTCAATTGTTCAAGCAATACATTTCATGAACATGATTATTACAAATAATTAAAACGATGTGATGATATTTATAACAAAATTGGAGAAATCAAACATCTATTACATTTATATAACAAATAAATACATTATTGTCCTAACTATGAAGTATTCATATAAAACATCAAAATTACTGACGATTAGGCCATCAAAATTGAATAAGAATTAACACACAAAGTTCAATTTATATTAAATTAATAAGCAAATCTACAATAAATAATAGAATAAAGTAACAGATTAAATGAAGAGATGTATAAATATAATTAAATTTAAGTGCAGTATTATAAAATTGCAAAGACTTCATATACAAATTTTCTGGAATTTAATTAGGATATATTGTAGGATGTATGAATACAATAGATTCACATAAATTTAATCGAATTGTATTTAGAATTTCAAAGGAAAATGGAATAGTGAAATTTAAGAATTTAAATAATTAGAGATGTTTAGTTACGTTGGTTTTTGCCATAGGTAAACATGAGAATTTAAAAAATAAATTACTCAAAATATGTGAAGTATTTTATAATTTTATTATTATTATAGGCATTTTCTGTATCAATCTATTAATTACCAGAAGAAAGTAAAGTAGATAATAAAATCTTGGAATTATAAAATGAAATAGCTAATTTGGATATTATAATTTCAACAACAAAATAAGAAATTGATTAATAATTAGATTATTTTTCTGATATATAAGTGGAAAAACTATTAAATTTAGATGAAATCTATGATTATGGGTATTGTTCTTATATTTGTGAATTAAAGATTATTTTAGATATAATAAGTGCTACTTATTATCATCTTACTTTTTTTGATGCTAAATCTTAATTTCTTATAGGTCATATATGGTGTGAATAAAGAGATATTGAATAAATTAAATAATTTGGAGTTCAAATTGAAATTATGTAAGATATAAATGAAAATCTTTATGAACCACCAAGTCTTATGAAAACAAATTAATTTACTTATATCTTCTAAGAATTAGTAAACACTTATGGTATTCCAAGATATGATGAAATAAATCCTGGACTTTTCACAATAATTACATTTCCATTTTTATTTGGTATGATGTTTGGGGATATTGGACATGGAGTAAAATATTGTCTATATAAAGATAGTTTTAACACTTTTTGGTTTCTATTTATTAATTTTTGGTTAGAGTATTATTAAAAGAATCAAATTACAAAATAGTAGTGAATATCTTGCATATGCAGACATTTAGAGTATATATCAATGTAGATATCTTATAACATTAATGGGTCTTTTTGCTACTTATTGTGGTTTTATTTATAATGATTTCTTTTCGTTATCATTAGAATATAAATTAGAAAAGTTTTAATTAGGTTTTGATGGTAAATGGAGTATGTCAGAATCCCATCTTACAGTAATGAATTCCTTTAAAATGAAAACTGCAATAATCGTTGGAGTAACTTAAATGGTATTTGGAATACTTCTGAAAGGTTGGAATTGTTTATATTAAAGAAAATATATAGATTTCTTCTTTAATTTTATACCTGAATTGGCTTTTATGTTATCTACATTTGGTTATATGTCATTTTTAATAATCCTTAAATGGCTAACTAACTATAGTAATACTCAAGAATCACCATCAATTATTACTACTTTACTTAATATGGTTTTTACATTAGGAGGTATCAAAGGAACAGAAATGTATCCTCATTAAGTTTTCTTTTAAACTATATTAATAAAAGTAGCTATATATTCTCCAATAATTATGTTACTTAAACCTGAAGTTATTAGAATGAAGAGGAGATTGTTTAATCTAAGAAATTAATAAATTGTTTATAACGAATTAGTAGAATAAGAACATGTCTAAGTAGAATTGGTGAAGGAAGAGAAAAACCAACTTTTTGGCAAATTAGTAGAATCTAGATCTATTAAAGAAGAAAAACATTTTGATTTTTCTGAGATTTATATTGAAAGCTTAATTGAATGCATAGAATTTGTTTTGGGAGCTGTGTCTAATACAGCTTCATATTTGAGATTGTGGGCACTTAGTTTGGCACATTCTTAATTATCTGAAGTATACTATTTTATTTTATTTTTATAGGTATTCTTTAAGATGTCCTTAGAACCTTAATTATAGAGTGGATCAATTATTGGAATTTGTTTAACTTTTATGATTTATGCTTTTGCAACTTTTGGTGTTCTTATGTGTATGGATACCCTAGAATGCTTCTTACATTCATTAAGATTACATTGGGTTGAATTTTAAAGCAAATTTTATAAAGGAGATGGTCATATTTTTTAACATTTTAATTATCTTCAATTTTTAGATTAGAAATTTTAATTTAGTACAAGAATGTGAGTGACATATATTTTTAAATAAATAATCATCTCATTCTATCATTATAAAAAGAACAAATAGAAATTTATAAATCTATTTTTCTTTATATAAAATAAATATTTATTTTTTTAAATTACAGATCAAATTTTCTTAAATGAATTTAATTGAATATTAATGCAATAAAGATTAGCATTTCAATTAGAGTATAATAGGATATTGTCTTAAATCAGATTGTTAAGAAACTCGTTAATTTTGTTAAAAATGTTCACTAAATTCTTAAATCCATAATCAATGTCGACCTTATTTTTAGGATTTTGATCAAATTTTCAATAATTTATAAAGCCATTTAGATTACTTATAACATTAAACTTTTTTTTTGATTACGAAATGGAAAGTAATTTAAAATTAATGGGTGAGAATATATGAACTAATTGGGAAATAATAAAAAATTTTATAAGAAATTTTAAATAACTTAAGAGATCATAAATATGAGGATTTAAAGAGTTATATACCTTTAATCATTAAATATTAATTAATTTTCAATAGAGATAATAAATTAATGAAATTTTAAAATGGTAGATAATAGAATAAAATTTATTAGGATTAAGATTAGCAAAAAAGGGAGATATAGAGAATGCTATTAAAATATATGATGAATTAATCAAAGAAGATGAAAAATATGGCAACTCTTATTATTAAAAAGGTCTTAAATAATAATTATAAATTAGGATTAGCATTAATTAAGCAAGAGAATATAAATGAAGAATAGTTGTAAGAGGCAGCTTTTTGTTTTAATAAAGCTACTAAAATTGATAGTTATAATTATGATGCCTATAAATAAAGAGGTTTTAATACTTTTATAAATTTAGGGATATGTCTATTCAAATTGAAAAAATATGATTAATCATTAGATTGCTTTAATAGTATAAAGAAATATGAAATAGATGATGAAGAGTTGGACATTTACATAGGTCTTATAAAATTAATTTTAAGGTAGGGTTTTAATTGAAAATGAACAAAATGATAAAGCAATTAATTTTTTCGATAAAATATTAAATAAGAACATATATGCTTATGATTCATATTATTACAAAGGTGTCTAAATTATTATAATAATAGGTTTATGCTTATTTAATTTAAAGAATTATGAAGAAGCTATAAGATAATTAAATAAATTAATAGATTTAGATCCTTCTTATATTTAAGCATATATCTTAAAAGGTTATCTATTTCTTCATATTAAGGTTAAGCTTAACTTAAATTAGAGTTGAAGAATGAGGCTAGAGAAAGTTTTAGCTAGGTAATTTAAAAAGATTCTTAGAATTTATAAGCTTATTTAGGAAAATGTAAATATTGAAATTAATTTTAAGCCTAAACATATGATAATAACAAAGATAAAATTAGTATTATGATTTCTGCATAAGAAGCTAATATTAAATCTAGTGAATTGAACTATGAAATAGGTATTATAGGAATTTTCAACATTAGGGTTTGCATTACAATAAGAGAAAAAATATAATTAAGCTATTGATTAATATGATAAAATAGAGTATAATTCACTTAATCAAAATTATATGGACATGATTTATTTTAATAAAGGGAATTATATCAGTTATAATTTAGGTCTTACTTTATATAAATTGAAAAGATATGAAGAGGCCACAGATTGTTTTATTAAGGCAAGCTATGTTGAATCCAAATAGATAGAAGCATTAATTTATTAGGGTTAATTTAGTATTTAAATAATTTAGGTTAATCATTATAAAGGTTGTAAAAGCATAAGGAAGCAATATAATGTTTTGATGAGATATTAAATAAAGGTTTTTAGAGCGAAAAAATCTATTATAATAAAGGTTTTTTGGAATTTCTTTAATAATAGGAAAATCCCTATATTTTTTAGGAATTTACATTTAAGCTGTTAAATGTTTTGATTAGGCTTTATAAAAGTGTTAAAAATTGCCAAAAGTTTATTAATTAAAAAGTATGATTATCTATAAATATTTTGCATTAAAATAGGTGAGGCTTTAAAATACTTGGGGAAAATTTATGAAGCTAACAAATGTTTAGAAATATTAAAGATATTGAAAGAAGAAAAAATTAATGACTCTAATATAATGTCAACATCGTCTTCATAACCAGCTAGTAATTTCAATAAAATAAATTGAGAATTTATAAAATATAAAATAATAATAATATTTGATCTTCTTTCTAAATAAAAATATATACTAGTATCTTTATTATTTACTTACAGGAAATTTATATATAAATATATTTCATCTTTTGATTTCATTTAATTTTTATATAAATAATTATAAATCAATTGATTAAATATAATGTATGGACTTCTGAAAACTGCAGCTGAAGAAATGCTTTCTAAAGCAATTCGAACTTATACTTTTAATGATTTGATTGTTATTGGTAGACATCCATACAAAAATTTACCTGAAATGTTAGCATAATACCCAAACAATGGAGTAGGATTCAAAGTTTGGAGAAAGACTTGGCCAGAAAATAAATATATAATTATTACTGAGGCACATTTTAAAGTAAGGGATTTATTTTACAGAATTTAAGGGATTAAGAAATGGCAAATTTTTTGGTATTGAATATTACAATGGCAAACCACTTACACCATAACCAATAAAAATTAGNCCTAAACATATGATAATAACAAAGATAAAATTAGTATTATGATTTCTGCATAAGAAGCTAATATTAAATCTAGTGAATTGAACTATGAAATAGGTATTATAGGAATTTTCAACATTAGGGTTTGCATTACAATAAGAGAAAAAATATAATTAAGCTATTGATTAATATGATAAAATAGAGTATAATTCACTTAATCAAAATTATATGGACATGATTTATTTTAATAAAGGGAATTATATCAGTTATAATTTAGGTCTTACTTTATATAAATTGAAAAGATATGAAGAGGCCACAGATTGTTTTATTAAGGCAAGCTATGTTGAATCCAAATAGATAGAAGCATTAATTTATTAGGGTTAATTTAGTATTTAAATAATTTAGGTTAATCATTATAAAGGTTGTAAAAGCATAAGGAAGCAATATAATGTTTTGATGAGATATTAAATAAAGGTTTTTAGAGCGAAAAAATCTATTATAATAAAGGTTTTTTGGAATTTCTTTAATAATAGGAAAATCCCTATATTTTTTAGGAATTTACATTTAAGCTGTTAAATGTTTTGATTAGGCTTTATAAAAGTGTTAAAAATTGCCAAAAGTTTATTAATTAAAAAGTATGATTATCTATAAATATTTTGCATTAAAATAGGTGAGGCTTTAAAATACTTGGGGAAAATTTATGAAGCTAACAAATGTTTAGAAATATTAAAGATATTGAAAGAAGAAAAAATTAATGACTCTAATATAATGTCAACATCGTCTTCATAACCAGCTAGTAATTTCAATAAAATAAATTGAGAATTTATAAAATATAAAATAATAATAATATTTGATCTTCTTTCTAAATAAAAATATATACTAGTATCTTTATTATTTACTTACAGGAAATTTATATATAAATATATTTCATCTTTTGATTTCATTTAATTTTTATATAAATAATTATAAATCAATTGATTAAATATAATGTATGGACTTCTGAAAACTGCAGCTGAAGAAATGCTTTCTAAAGCAATTCGAACTTATACTTTTAATGATTTGATTGTTATTGGTAGACATCCATACAAAAATTTACCTGAAATGTTAGCATAATACCCAAACAATGGAGTAGGATTCAAAGTTTGGAGAAAGACTTGGCCAGAAAATAAATATATAATTATTACTGAGGCACATTTTAAAGTAAGGGATTTATTTTACAGAATTTAAGGGATTAAGAAATGGCAAATTTTTTGGTATTGAATATTACAATGGCAAACCACTTACACCATAACCAATAAAAATTAGAAATTGTAGTAAGAGAGGAACCTGGAAATATGATACAAATAATACTTCAGGAATATCTGCAAATGGTGTTTACTTTAGTTCAGATGATTTGAAAGAGTTTTCAAAATTACATTAAAATAGAGAATAAAAAGAGTGATATTTTATTTGTTACATAATAATAATGAATGATAACATAATATATAAGAGAACTATATAAATAAGTAAAGAAATTAAAATATATATATTTCATTTCAAATCACTAGCTCTTCTTGAGTGTGTTCTTGTTGTTGTAGCATTCTTATTAATTTTAGTATCTAATGTTATTACAGAATATTTTGGTAATATTGTAGTTATCATACTTTTTATAGGAGAAATACCAATAATTCTACTTGTATTTGTTTAATTAAAAGTCTTTGTAGAAACTATAGGAATTCTCTCACTCCTATGACCATGATTAGCTATTTTCCTTAATATCTCTTTTCTTGTAGTCTATTATTAATTCAAATAATACAATTAACCGTTCCTTCAAAATTTCAGGTCTTAATTTTTGGATTCCTCTATAAGTTGCAGGACATAACATTTCTTATTTTGCTAATTTACTAAGATCTTATGATACATTAACACCTTTATCAATTTAAATATGACAATTATAACAAACATTAAATTCCATTTCCACAAATCCTGGATTACCCAATAATTCTTTATATTAAGAATATTTTAATTTAGGGAATATTTTTCTAATTAAAGTAGGTATTAAATAGTTTTAATTAACTTATCTTAATTCTACATCTTATTTTACATCTAATTTTTCAGCCATAGTTTTCTTTCTAAGTAGAATTTCTTATTTCTTAGTTACAAATAATTTATCATTATCACCCATATGATCAAAATTCCAACTTTCTATAATATTCTTTATATATGTCTTTAATAAATCATTCTTGTGAAATAATTTATCACACATCTCACATTGACTATCTTTTACTATATTCTTATGTTATTTAAGTATTAATTTTTCTTAATCAACAAATGAAGGAAGACTAAGAGATTTCATATGCACTTATTCTTATGTTGACCACTTCATTAGTTCACAATTTGTAAGCCAAATTTAACCAAAATTGTCTATTTTTATTTCCAATTTCATTCTAACAATCTTAGATTTCCATTTCATTAAATCATTACCATGAGCAGCAATTGCTCCACTAAAATGTTCTAATCTCTCTGTCAAAGATTTACTATTAATTTATTAAGCCAATGTTCCATCTCTTTCATGAGTTAATGCTCTTTAATAAATATCTATTGTCTTATCATTAAGCATGAATTTGCTCTCAAACTTTTCAAATAATGTTTAATTTTGACTCCATTAAATTAATATAGTATAATTATAATTCCCCTTTGGATAAATAAATCTTTATAAAATCCCATCTTTTTAATCTTCCTTTTCAAAGAACTTAATTAAACTATCCTTATTAAAAACTTATAATTCTAATTTAGTCCTCCAAATCGCCACTATCTCTTAATTTAATTCTAAAAAATATTAACGAATATAATTGTCATCTAATTTCATTTTTGATTTCATTCTCACCTGAGCTTTCTTACTGAAAAACCATTACTTTGGAATCGAATTCTAATAAAATATTGTATCTGGAACATTTGCAGATAAAACTAAATTAAATTTTAATTCTTACAATAATCACCAATCGGATTCTACAAATGTAAGAATGACAATAAATTTATTATTGGTTATTCGTGAATTTCCATTTATTTTAATATTATTAATAATTATTATAATGGAAAAATCACATTATTATATATAACAATGTAAGTTTACTACAAATCCTAAAAATCCATAAGAACACGATCACAATCTGTTTTCAAAACATTAATAATCAACAAAATTTGGTTTATTTTTGTAAAAAAGAAATTTTGCTTCAAACACAATAACAATCTGAATAAATGATCTAACCATATATACCCAAATTATCAAAATACTATATTAAGACTATTTTATAAGATCGTCATTAAATAATTTCTGATTAAATTTTCTATTGATAATTCTCATAATATAAATATAATTTTCATAATATCTATTTATCTTTAGAATGAGTTAGAATTCATTAAATTTATATCCATTCTTGATAAAATTATTAATAATATTATTTTTGGATTATAAAAATAATAATTTTTCATTGAATCAAAAATAACTTAAGTCTAATAATAAATTCAATTTAAATAAAATGATCTTTTCATAATCATAAGGAAAAATATAATTAAAAATTATAAAAGGAAAATTTTAATGATTTAGAATTAGAAAGGCAATAAGCCAGTAAATTTAGTAATATTTTATTATTTTTACATTATTTTGTTATTTTTCCTCTAAAATGCTCCAAACATAGTATTCATTAATTTTACCAAAAATTACTTTTTCTCTTCTCTGTAATAGATAATTAAATGAAAAATTTAATGATTTAGATTTTATAATTCGTATTTATTAGTAAATTAGAAAGAAATATATTATAATTAATTGTATTTTCTATTTCTTAATATCTTATATGATTATTCATTAACTTTTTTAATAATAATATTATTTGGATTTCAGAATTCCAATTAATTTTATACTATTTTTATCATATAATCAAAAAATGGAGTAAAATAATTTTCTATTTAATCAGAAAATGAATTTAAGAACATTTTAATGATTTTTGATATTTATAAGTTAGGAATAAAGGTAATGTACATATTTATAATATCATAATAATAGAGAATGCACTAGAGAATCTGATTTTAATTTTTGCAATTGATTTGGAAACTAGGAAATTCTAGAGTATTTTGCTTTTGGTTTTCCCAATTACTTAAAACTTTCTTAATCAACATATTTAACAATTTCAATGTTTCCATTCAAAACTAATTTGGGGAAGTTTGAATTGCTTATGTTTAAAATGGGTTCCATTTAAATAATTTATTACCTTAAATAAATTATAATTGTAAGAAATAAATCTGAATATCTTTTAAAATAATCAGAATAATACAGTTTTTTGATTTATATAGTTTATAATCACAAATTTAGTACAATATAAAGTTTATAGTTATAAAAGACAATAATTATGTATCTATGTATTAGTCTAATAAAAAAAAGAGAATAATAAAATTTATTATCACATTAAATGTCTTATAGTTCATAATAATCTATAAAATTAGAAGATTATCGAGAAATAGCTGTTGATATATCATAAAGTTTGATTGCAGTTCGTTCGATAATAAGAGAGATATTAAGGCGTTCTAGTGTGATTTTAATAGAAAAGCATCTCGAATAATCAATTCCCTTAATAATGCCAAAATGGACATTACAATATTCAGAGGATGTTGTATCATTAGGGATTCATGAACCTGATGAAATGATGACAGAGAAAATTAATTAAGGTTTGGTTCTAGAAACAGAACCAGAAATCAGAATTTAAGATTGTTGGAGAAGTTATATTGCAAATATAGATCTCAGATTTCATTAAACAACACATACTAGTCATAGTGTAACAAAATCTCATTTCTCTTTTAATCCAGTCTATCAAAGAAGTTCTGTTACAATAAAAAGAGCATCATAAATCCTAAAAACTCAATTCGAACCATTTGAGCCAGAGTTTGTTAATATGTATTAAAAAGTAGAGGATGATCCATTTGATTAAGGATTGAGATAATAATTGGAGAGAGATTAATTATTGAGATAATAAAAATGGTAGGCTGAACAATAAAGGATTGCAGAGAAGAAAGAATAATTAAGATAAATTAGATTATTAGCAAGCTCATTTACAGGTGATAAGAAATATACATTTGATTATGAGGGGAAATTTATGCCATAAAATATACCTTAGGTTGAATAATTGGCACCAATTAGACCTAGAGTAAGTTCAATGGTTTAGTTTTAAGAAAAGAATAAAGTAATTGAATTTGGAAAGTCATTTGCTCATGTGAAAATAGAAGGTGATAAGCCTTTTTTGGGAAGTCAAATGAATTTTTAATAGAAATAATAATAGAATGTATTCGATTAAATTGAAGTAGCTAAAGGTGTTACTTTAACTGAAGGTTAAAATTAAAAATAAGGACCTTCATTCTCGAATAATTAGAATATATAATTATGGGAAGAGGGATTAAAGTTAACTAAAAGTGAATATCAATAATATGTATAAGGAATGTAAGGATTATAAGGAGGAGTGAAATTATAAAAGAATATATAAGATACATCTATTAATGATTTAGAACCATCTCGAGTTAATTTAAATACATCTATAATAAATTCAACAACTGTAAAAGAGGGTTCAATTAGAATAGATGGAAATATTAGTGTAGAAGAATTATTAATTACTGAAGAACCAACACCAATTAAAATTGATGTTTAATAACCATTACCAAAGTTATTATTAAAATAAAAAGATCTCTCATAACTATTAACTCTTACTAATGAAGCATTGAAATAAGGAAAACCAAAATTACCAAAAGTGATGAGTTCATAACATTCATTACCATAACTAACTAAAAATCCTAGAGATAGAACATTAAGTTAATTATAGAAATTTAAAATGATTATTAAGTAATGATAATCTAATTTGTTATTCAAATAATAGAGAGTCCTCCTTCCTTCAATTTTTATCTTAGTATCAGTTTTTAATCTATTTATATAGAATAATATCATACCATATTATTCATCCATATAAAAAAAGATTTGATTATCTATAGCAATCAAATAAATGTGTTTAATTTCATTCTAATCTGTAATTAGACATCTATCAAAACTTATATGAAGAGCTGATATTCCACTTCCTTTTTAGCTTCCCTTTTTAACCATTATTTTATCAGATTTCAAAATTCCTAATTATTATTATTGTAATTTCAACTCAAATATGTCATAACAATAAATGATAGGATCAAACTTAGTCAAGTTTTCTTCTCCTTATTGATTCAATGAATATAATAACTATAATAATCAATATATAATTATACAAATTTAGATGAAAAGGGAGTTGTAAATAGTATATTCTTTGAAACCTTATCCATTAATTACATAGTCTGTAAATACTATTTCCCATTTACTGTATATATTGAAATTTAAGAGTTTGCACTCTTAAATACAAGAAATTGAATCTAGATGCAACATTACAAAATCTTATCAGAATTATCCAATTAAATTGTTTGTAATAAACTTTAAAATATTAATAATAAATATTACTCTCCTTCTAAAGTAAATAAATTCGCTACATTCTTTTAGTCTACTGTTAATATATTTAGATCTGTTAAATCAATACTTAAAATTCCATTCCTTAATTATTTTGTGAGAACTCCCTTTGCTTACATTTATTAGCCGAATTGGAGTTAATATAATTAAAGTAAGCCATCCAATGATCCAATGGCTAAAATCTTTGATACAGCATGATATCTAACACATGATGCTCTTTTTTATCTCTTTACATTTTAAAAAGAAACATCTATTTTCAATTCTTACATCTTATTCCTTAAGTCATATATTTTTACACTTTTATCTAAAAATCCTACCAAACAAAAATATAAATTGTAATTTTATCTCTCTTCATAAATACTATAATATTATGAATCATATCCATCTCCAAATTAATACTCTTATTCATAAATGAATGTAAACATATTCTAAGGATTACATCCATCTACTTTTATCTCTGGTAATTTCACTTATTATTTAGTTATACAATGATAATAATAATATCCTTAATCCTCTTAATTTTTAGTCTCTAATAATGTTAGATGATTATATTTCTCATCATCTACCTTTAAAATATATATGCATTTCTTTGAATATGGATAAAATCCTAGTATTTATGATTTGTCTATTTTATTTTATTCTGCCCTTTATTAAAAGATAACACCCTTATTGTTTTTATCAGGATTATCACCAAAAAAGGGAATCTAATTTATATATAATTATAAACTATATTTCCTTTTCTAATGAGCCTTCTAAAATAATTGTTTTGGTGTTTAACCAAAATAATACACTTAAGTTAAATATGATTGAATAGTTGAATGATCATCATTCTTTTTTAAAATCATTTGTAGATTTTATTCATAAGTCAAATAATGAAATACATTAACATTATCTACTGCATTTTATCCATTATTATTAATTCCAAATATCAAATCAATCCAATGATTCAATTAACTAGATATTGCATCACTTTCTAATGCTTATCTCATTCTATAAACAAATTCTTCAGCTGTCTATGTCTTTACCCACTTTGGTAATTCTACATCAGTAACTCGTGATTATGATTGCAATGTTCCAAAATCAAAGAAATTTCTTAAAAAATATAAATTTAAAAATACATGTTCTTTAAAAATTCAGGCATATAATAAAATTCTGGAATTAATTCTTTATTATCTTATTTTATACTATTTTCCCATAGAATGTCTATTTTAGAAAATAAACGATCTGCTACATCGAATTTATCTAATAAAAATAAAGATTTTAATTTACTTTTTTATAATGAAAAATGTAACTCATTAAAAGGCTCTAATCTTATTAAATAATTGAAAACAATTGCAGCATTTGAGTAATGTGAACCATACATGAAGTTTTCATCAATACAATCCAAATCTCTTTCCTTATAATCTTTTAAGATTTCTTCAGGTTTTCTTTAGATTGCACCCATTGGTAATTTAAGATTTCTAAATATATTTGATTATTTTCTCCATGCAAAATCAATTTATTATGATTTATAGTTTGAAATAACCCAAGGAAATATGAAATATTAACTTAGATCATTATAAGTTCTTCCTGAAAAAGTATTAACAAGCATTAAATATTGAAAATTAGATAATTATCCTCCAACCCAATTTTATTAATAATTCCTTTTCTTAAATTCTTCTATGGGATCAATTACTTAGACTTTCTTTCTTTTTAATTCTTATACAAATTCTTATAGTTTTTCATTTCTAAATAAATTAAAAAAGAAATTCTATCTATGAATAAATATTTCAAGTGCAATTTCATTTAATAAAAATCTCTTCGGATGTACACTAAGTATCTAAGTAAGAGATATTTCTAAGAATATTTCTTCAGTAGTTTATTTAACTTCTGGACTAGTAAATAATTCTTTTAAATCAATTTTTTCTGATTTGAATATAAGAGATTAATTCTTTTCATTAAATCTCAATATTCCTTAATAAGCTGCTTCTTAAGTTATATATTCACAAAAATATTTAGTAGTCACTAATTGATTACTATCTGATGATCCTTTTCTAAAACTAGTCATAGTTAAATTATTTTAATTTGATATAAGTTATTCTGATCTAATTGATGATCTTCTTTTAGCTCTTTTAATTAAACTTTAACTTAATGATTCTTCTATATTATCTGATTTTTATAATAATATAGTAAAAGATGTATTAATATTTGATTTACTCTTATCTATGCTGCTTGATTCTTCTAGAGTAGTTAATTTCTTTCTGTTTTAATTATTAGTCTTTAAATATGGTTTATAAAAGTTTTTCATTTTTATTTAAGTTAAATGTGACCTTCTTCTAATGATATCTTCTAAATGACAAACTTACATTTTCATTTACATATTTTCCAAAATTTCAAATTTAAATTCTTGATGTGTAATAAAATTATTTAATTCTTAATAAAGAACTTAGAGATAATCATCAACAAAAAACCATAATCCTTGTCTTTACTTTAAATCTAAACTCTCTTTTTCCCAATATTTCTTTTAAGAATCTCTAAATATAGGTATACTCATTTCAGAAAATGATGATTAACGATGAGCTGATAAATTACTTTATGTCTTTGGCATTTCATAAGGATCAACAATTTTAGGAAATAACAACCAAAGTTTATGAATAAATTAATAATTCATTTAAAAATCTAGGAATATACTTTATTGAATTGCATTTGCAGTTTCATCTCTTATTTGATCAATTTAAGATAAATCA